TCGCACATACTTCCGCTTGTAGCGAAGAAGCAGTAAAAAAATCTGGGAATCCCAATGTGATGATGAAGAATCCTAGCGACATGGAAAATCAAGTGTTTCTGAAGGCTAAAACAAGGGTGAGTGTACTTTTTACGCTATTGGATATCTTGGCATGACTCGAGATCTACGTGTTTGTCATGCGAATACTGATACACAGTTTGATCGCGTCGGTAGTAATCATTATACTGCATGTCTCTACCCAACTCATATTGAAGAATGTTTTTAATCTGGAAGCCATTGCTATCTATTACATTATCAAATGGAACATCAAAGAAAACCCACCCTTCTTTCAGTTTACCAAATGGAGAGTTTGATTTCCTTCCACGCATTTTCAATACGCATTGTACTCAGACGAGTTTTCAGTTTCGTAGACAAATCAAAGCTGCCTAGAAGAAGGGAAAATTTGCTTTCGTTTTGTTTATCATATGTTAAACCTCTAGTATCTTTCAATCGGCTACAACTGCTTAGAATAAACAAGAACAGTGAACAGAAATTACATTTCGTGACGTTATGCACGCAAAGTCTTACAAACAGTCATATCACGAAAGTTCTGCTCAAGTGAACAGGATGTTGCAAGATAACTTAAATTTGTTATTCGGGAGTCAGTTACAAACTTTTGAAGAGGGTAGTTCTGTTAGGCATGTCATTGGTATCTAAAAGTAGCTTGGTAAACCTGTGGGTGAAACTGTGTATTGGTACAATACCATGCGTTTTGAAATGAGAATCTTTGTTCAAGGTATCTCATTGATACTATTGATGTGTATTGTATCGTATAGGAAATGCGTTATATATTAGCTTATCCATTCAAAAACAAACATTTCATAAAATTTCTGTATCAATCAATTTTAAATATAATTTCAGGAAGATTAATGTAGATTTTTGGCTTGAAGCACTACATGGTATTGCCTTTAACATGGAAAAAAAAAAAAAAATGTCACGGCTGTTGTCCCCTTGTTTCTTTCAATACTTCGACTTGATATGTGAACCACGTTCTTGTTGTAGTGGTCTTGACATTACAGTTTGTTCACCAGCAGCAGTCGTCTTGAGTTATTTTTTGAAATTTGAGGTTGTCAAAAGTAAAACAAAATTATACTCTGACTGTTTATTTTTTTTTTAATTTCAATAACATGATATGTAATCATAACCCTAATTTTACTTAACATTCTTTTCTTAGGTTGATTACCTTGCATATGTTGCTCGTCTTTTGGTTTATATTCGAGACATACGTAAGTAATCTTGCTTAAAGTAAAATACATGTACACTGGAATATTGGGTTCAAGAAAGCCCAAGTGGAAGCTGATCTTGTAGGCACTGACAAGATGAATTAGCATTTTTGAATGCAATGTTGTGGCTTAAACTCTACTTTAGTGCAGGAATATTTGCTTTGGTTTTGTGAAGAAAAGAACGAAGACATGAAAAATATACTCAGACCCATGCAAGGCACCCACCCAAAGGAGTAGAAAAAATGTATAAAATTAAAGATACAAATTAAAGTTAAGAAATAAGAATTACCAATGATGACATGAGCAATCCTGAGAGATGTACCACAATAAAATCAGGTCCACATCAACTGATATCAAAACTGATATCCAAAGGGACTTAGACTTATTTTTCAAAAATTATTTCAAAGAACCTGGAGATAAAATTTCTAGGAAGAGCTACATCACAAACAATATTCCACAATTTGACTATGGAAATAAAATACAAAGGTTGTACACTGACCATATGGGGTACATGAATGGTTGTTAAATTTCACATTATTACTAACGTCAAACAAGATTCATGATTTTTCTCTTATAAGCAAGAAGCAGCATATTCAAAGCAAGTAATCTCTCTATATATAACATCTGGGGAGGCTCTGAATGTAAGATCCATCTTGTTGCTCACCTAAGAACTTGTTCTATTTTGAGTTTTAATGACTCTCTGACCAGGAGACCTATGTGGGTAGCATAACAAAGGTGGGGTTTCATGATCACTAAATATAAGGAACTTCTCACTGGGACTTAAGTTAACATAGAACATGATCTCTTTTGCAGACTGAGGAGTTTGTTTACAGATACGATAAGCTTGTTCAAAATAATTATGCCCAGGATCTTTCTCCTTGTGCACATGTAGTAACCTTTCAGATCCTACAAAATGATGGTCTTAAGATATTTTTTAAGTTTCTTATAATCTGAAAATTTTGTGGCACACAGTCATAATTGCCACTTTTGATGGGAATAGCCAGTGTAAAAGAGGCATGTTTTCACTAAGAAAACAGCCAACACCGATAAAAAGGGCTCAAACCCAGACTATGTTAATCGAGCTTCCTTGTTAACAGACCACAATAACACCCACAAGAGTTGATGTGTGATTTTAAAATTTGATTTAGGGCCAAGTGCCCCTGGGCAGCAGCAGACACCAGCAGCAACCATGAATCAGCCTGGTATGAATCGAGGACTGCAATTTCCTCCACCTCAGCTCAACAAGTCACAAGCCATGAACGCCATGGGTGCACAGGGTACCATGCAACAAGTGGTACCATTGGGTCAAGTCCAACAGCCAACAATGGCACCTCAGCAGGTGTTTTATAATAAATCAGGAATGACCCAAGAACAGATTCTTGCCCAGCACCTTCAGCAGCATCAACAGCAACAAACACCTCAGCAACATCAACTTACCCCTCAAGCTATGATGTCGCCTCAAGCTATGAGTGTCAACTCTCAGAATCAAGGGGCACATCATCAAATAACCCAAACGCAGTCTTACATTTCTCCAAATCAAGGGGCATCTCCGATGCCTGTTCAACAGCAACCTGTACATCAAGGTTTGTCTCATCTTCATGATCTTGTTGTGGTTGACTTTCAACAGGAGTATAACAGAGACGTGTAGATGGCCCTAGTTGATGAGGAGGCTGGGCATTTCGGGGTGTAATTTTGCTGAACTTTAAAACGATGGAATAGCTTGTCTTTCTTCCCTCTTGTCCCACAAAAGAACTTTTGCTCCCACTCTCTAAATCTCCTAGTATCTTAGTAGGACAATTTCATTGCCCAGGTGAAGACTGTACTAGTTCCCTACCAAAATTTCAAAGTTGAATTACAATTATATGACTTGTGGAAAAAACATCTCTTTCAAAGCAAATTCAGTTGAAATTTTTTCTGTTGGGGCAACTGATGTAAAGGCAACTGATTTTATCTTAACTCCTTACACCCTAACATCAGTATGCACATTCTCCATACTGTTCTCTGTACATTTTGTAAGGGGCTGGTGAAGAGAATATGTTTAGCAGTAGAGAGCTCCTTTAGTTGGTGTTCACTTCTTTATTCTTGTGACCTCAATGTGTGATTCAGGGGTGATATTGTGAGTAGAAATTAGATACAAGTCACTCTTAGGTGTCAAAGGGTTAAACTGTGTTGGGGTTAAAAGGCCTTGGTGGTTCACACCCAGCCAAGCCCTCCTGGCGTGTGGCCTGTAGGTCTCAGTTGAAGGAAATTAACAGTGAAACTAGTTTATGGACCTATTTTGAACAAAAGAAAAATTTAATGGATAGATTGGTTGAAGTTTTGATGCTTTAATGATTTAAGTAATAATTATTGTGATTGCTTTTTGTTTTTCCTTTAGTGCAACAGACCAAACATACTGTTCAAGGAAGAATACCACATGTTCCGTCCCCAGCTGCAGGGCAGAACATGTCATCCAATTCCATGCGAGCACCTACTCCTTCATCCAGTTTGACAAGCCAGGCCACCATTGCTCCATCACCAGCTCCTTTTGTTCCATCACCTGCAATGCACCCATCACCCTCCCCTCAGGTAAGGCTGCAAGGCTTCAATGCAGTCTTAGTTTAGCAATGAAGCTGTCTTTGCAGTAAAATGAGTCAATTGTAAATTAAATTTGAGATTTTACCCCTGTGCCTGTTTTAAGCTGTGTCGTGGTCAGGATGACAGTTTAAGCTGTCAGATCACACCAGTATGGCCTTAAATTTTTCAAGTAAGTAATAGCTTGACTTGCATTGTGTAAGCATCCAGCTACATGGCTGGAGCTCAAAACCTCAGCGTGGGACTCAGATTTTTCTTTATCCTTTACTACTTTCTTTCCCATGCAATCTGCAAATTAAAGCATTATGGCAACAGGATGCTGCATCACTTATGCACCTTGTATAACACCTGTCCATTGTTTGCAACAAGTTCTCTTCAGCTTAGCTGATGTACATGTAGTATTTGGTGGTCAAATTATTACTTGCCTGGGTACTCTTCTGAGTTCTGGGGACTTTTCCTTTTCATTCCTCTAAAAACTGTGAATCACCTTAGTTCCAATTCTTGGATGTGCTTTGATTTTTTTTCCTTGCATAGCATTACGTGCCAGCATCACCAGCTGCTCCTACATCAGTACCAACTCCTAGCACGATGAATGTTCAGTCACCAGCCTCTGTTCCAAACCCTGCTTCAGTGGGACCCCCAGAAGCCAGCCCTGCTCCACTGAACCCAGCTGAAGAACAGGCTTATTTGGATAAGGTATGTGTGTAGTATATTACTTAATAACCATTTATCAAGTGACTAGTGTAACTCTGTGCACACAATCGCTTAAAAAAAAAAAAATAGCGAAAGGTGATATGTAT